TCATTGTTTTATATAGTAGTGGAATTATTGGTTCTCCTTTGTGATAAGGGATGCAAGAAAGAAAACTCCTGCCACTCATCATTGGAAGAGACAGGTGCTTGTCTGCAGTGGCTCAGATGAGCCATATCTTTACAGCCTCTATCCAAGGACACTAAGTTCCTGTGGCTGTCAGGTCAGGCTTTTTTATTATGATGTCACAACCCAGTTATTTTTGAGGCCTTTGAAAGTTTACTTTGGTTCAAAATACCAGACAGGCTTTTGTCTCCAGGAAAAAGGTGGGGGTGGAGCGGGTGGAGGAATTAAAGATCACTGTTCTGTCTGCTTGGCCCCTTCTCATTTTACCCTCAGTAAAGAGTGTGTCTGTCACAGGCTCAGATAGGCCGTGTGATGTGAGTGTTCAAGAAGCAAAGACAGAGTGCCTTGGCCTCGGTCCTCAGGGGTACCTCCCCCATTACACCTGGGCCTCATCCCAGACAGCGGAGCCAAATTCACAGGACAGCATCCAAAACAGCAACAGCTTAGATGGCTGTGCTAGCCTGTTTTCTGGTGACTTTAAACCACAGAGAGCAAGGCACGGAAGATAAGAAGCAAAGTTAAAACAGACCACAGCCTTTGTATAATAGGTTAAAACCCACACCAGCAAAAGCAGTCGGGACAAGGCAGAGTTTGGTGGCAGGGTGTTTGTTCACCCAGCACACACGGAGCCTTGGGTTCCATCCATGGGCCACACAAAGGAGGCGAGGGTCCTAGGAGACTGCCAGCTTTAGTACTGTCTGAGGTACCTAATAGAAACAAAAACTCTGATGGGCTCCTGCTTGCTGTGGCTCTCATGGGTACGGCTGTCTCACTCCTGAGCACAGGAGCCAGGCTATGTGTAGAGTGACTGGGTTGATCCCCTCCTGAGAGCAGTTATGTTTGGTATCTAGGGAACAATGAGGGTTTGCTGCTTGGCTGGTCAGTGCGGGATCAAGTTCACATTCCCTGCACCTACTCTCCCACCTCCACACGCAGTGGGTGGAGGCAGAGGGAGGGAGGCCAGGTCCTTTTTCACCGGGGGGAGACGGGAGACGTGAGCTCTGACTTTCCTAATATGGACACGGCTGGTCCTGGGGCACATTAAACATTGATTTAATCTGCTACTGCAGGAACATCTCAGGAAGAAGAAAGGGACCAGTAACCAATCAGTACAGGGCCTTCCATTGTTTTCTCAGAGCACACCCTTCTATGGAGCTAAGTGTTTGGTGAATAAACACCCTGGAAACTGGCTTTCTGTCATAATTATTTATATTAGAGTCAGCGGCTCTAGTCTCCAAAGGTGGTAGATTTTACATTCCTCCATGTGTGTGAGAGAGTTTTATAATACTTGTTAATAGAGATGATTCGGGCCTAGTCTTCTGTTTGCTTATTGTGACTGACTTAGCTTCTTTTTGTAGGCCTGGTAACAGGTGATCTAGTCTGAGGGGGCAAGTTGTATTAAAGAATAGGTTTTGGGGGGCCATAAACTCCCAGGCGGCCCCTCCTTCAGGGGTACATGGAGCAGTGTCACAGCCTTATATCCACACTTCTGTATGTCATACGGTGCCACGCCACATCATACGCCCGGAAGATACCTGCAAGTGCTGTGGACTTTCCAGCTAGTGAAATACCGACACACTGTACAGATGTGTCTGTGTCTTTGGGGAGATGTTTGCCATTAATTCGCCCAGAGCATGAGCGTGCGTGTGTGTGTGTGTGTGTGTGTGTGTGTGTGTGTGTGTGTGTGTGTGTGTGTTTCCTAAGCAAGGGAACCCATTTGGTCAGAGCAGAGTGCCTACAACTCAAGGAAGTCAGCCAGCATGGGCTACTATTTAAGGGAGCAGTCCCTTTGAACACAGCGAAGGAGCTTTTCCATTGGCACAGACTTCCCCCCTGATTCTAGACTAGCTCTGTAATTAGAACATGAGAAGTGCTGCTTTCTGTGGACAGCGCTATAGGCCAGCATTAAGCCAGGCCACCTGAAGACAAACATTGAGGTCTTTGTGCAGGACCCAGAATTGTATTAACCATGAATCTCAAAAGGACTCCTTGCTTCTGTATGGAAGGACCATGGAAATCTTGTACTTGTTTTAAGTCTTTTTGTCGGTATGCTTAATGCATGCCTGAGTTTATTCCTAAATGCAAGCTGTGGGAAATGCTCCCTGTGTCAGTCCATTAACCCATCCTCCTCATCACCACGTCCCCTTCTTCTGCCCATGGGAACTTGCTGTCATAAAGCATGATATGTGGTCACCCTCTGTTTTATTGGCTTTCAAAGTTGGATTTCTTCCAAACATCTATAGTATTTTTGGGGAGCTATTAGCTATGGGGCATTATTAAAACCACACAATTTAGTGGTTCTCACCACTGCTGGCACATTGGGATCACTAAGAAAGAGGTGCCTAAGATGGTTCTGAGGCATGAATCTTAGTGGTCAACTATATGTTGTGATTTGTAACACTCCCACTCCAATACACCCGCTCTTACACATCAACACACCCCAAACACACCCAGACACAACATCCATGCTGAGACACTTACCCACACACATACATACACATGTTCTGGTTCTCTCTCTCTCTCTCTCTCTCTCTCTCTCTCTCTCTCTCTCTCTCTCTCTCTCTCTCTCTTTATATAGTGACTCTCAAAGAGCATCTACAAGTGGGAACTACAGGTAGAAAGCCTCTGTATGTAACTTTGTATTCCACTTTTTAAGATTATAGTGTCTATAAGGGAATGCCAAGGTCACATAAAGAGTTACAGCCAGGGGCTAGGGAGATGGCGTAGTCAATAAAATGCTTGGCGTGGAGACACGAAGAACTAAGTGTGATCCACAGAGCACTTGTAACAAAGCCCAGCACTGGGGAGAGGCAGGTCCTTGGTCAGCCAACCTGTAGCTCCCTTGTCAAGCCCCAGCCCACTGAGAGACCCTGTCTCAAAAGCTAAAGTGGACAGCTCCCAAGGGACCGCACCTGAAGTTGACCTCTAGCCTTCACATGGAACGTGCACCCGTGCGTGCACGTCTGTAGACACACATCCACACATTAAAAAGCTGCAGCTTCACTCACGCTGAAGGGCATATGATGACGCCCGTTCCAGCAGACACAGTGTAGGGCTGGGTTATATTCTGCTGGTGCTTCAGTCTTAAGGTCGAATCCCTCAGGTTCTAGCAGCTGCCTTGCTTCTTAGAATAATTCTGATAGTTACGCCTTGATAAGTAGCAACTGCCTCCTGTCTTGAGTACCCAGCATGTGGCACTGGATTACTGCACTCTGTGAGAAAGATGGCTTAGAGATGCCACACAGCGGATATGGACCCAAACCCCGACAGACAGACTGTCCAAGTGTTCCTAACAGCACACCGTGTCCCTGCATTTCCTCAAGGAGGGTCCTGAAATCAGTGTGGTGTCCTGCTCCTCCTGGCTGACTACACCTGATGGTCTCTTTTGTAGTAGGGGTCTCCATCATGTTTGTCAAGGGAATGACCTAACCATGTACCGGGTGTACATCTTCCCTGCTGGTTTTGGTACCACTGAGGAGGGACATTGGGTCCAGTCAGCATTTTTGTGACACCTGTGTGCTGCATATATATCTTTACCTTTACTAATGGTGTTTCCTAATATTTTCTTTGGCCTCTGTAAAGAATGGAGTCATTATCATATAGCCTTTGCTTTACACATAGCTTCTGAGTGCCTTGTTAATGGAGAGAAATGCTGGAAACGTGGCATTTTTTTTTCCAGCCCGCCAAGGAGAAATGGAAATTAAAGGGGAAAATGAAATCCCAATACTTTATTTATAAACATCTCTCCTACCCAAAATGGAGTTAAGGCAGTTTCCAAAGCAGATAAACATAGCAGAACTTGGCAGGAAGATGGGTGAGGAACATAGTTAATACTCAGCAAACTGTCCCTGGGGTTCCTGAGTCCTGGCTAAGGGGTCGGGGGGGGAGCCCAGAGCTCTAAGTTTGGGGAAAATTGGTAAACTACAGTGACAAGAAGTTGAAAACAAACTAAGAGCCTAGTCTGGTCATTCCTAACATTGATACCAGAGAGAAGTAAAAATGACAAATGTCATAGCCCTCTTGTCTGGTAAGCACAGCAATGAATTTATGAGGCCTTTTCTCTTGCTGTCCCTCCATAGAGGTGGACACCATTCTACCAGACCTGCTCAGTAAGAGGTCATTCCTGGAGCACAGGGAGATGAAGTCCATGGCCGGCTTTCAAAGAGGTCTGACTGAACCTAAAAATGTCCCGCCGGGGAGTTTAAGCATCAGTAGTTCAGCGATATCTGGAAAGGATGTGCTGCGGGTGTGGTCTATCCATCTGTCATCTAAACATGTACCCATCTGTTTTTAGTAGCAACACTATTAGTGACCATATCGGAGAAGATTGCGAGGGTTACAAGGCTTGGGGCAGAGAGTACAGCCCAGTAGTGGAGTCCTTGCTTAGGGTCCACGGTGCCACGGCTCAGTCCTCAGCACTAAAAGTATGTGGGAAGCAGGGAGACAAATAGCATCTTACACACCATGTCCACTTGGTTGGCCTCTGCAGAGGTTTCTGGGTAACCCTGATGATTTCAGGGCTACACTTACAGATGGGAAAACAGAACTCTAGGCAGAGAGCAGAGCCCGTGTGGGCCGGCTGGTAAGAGCCACGCCCCTCTTCTAAACATTATGCTGTGGGATTACACTCACCTACCAGAGCTAAAGTCCCCCTCAGAGAGAAACTAGGGCCTTCATCGTAACACTGATGAAACAGACAACAACATACAAGCTACATACAGTTCTAAACCCAGAGAAAGCAGGGCATAAGGTGTGTTACATTCATGCAAAACTTAAAGCTGTAACCTGTGTCCGTTGTCCGTCAGCTCTTAACCCTAACTTGTTCCCGCTGCTCATTCTAAAGGTAACTCCTGTTCCAGGCCCCATGGGTGCCTGCTGTTTTGTTTCGTTTGTTCATTTGTTGCTCAGACTGGTTCAGAACTCACCGTCTTGCCACAGCCTCTCCAGCGATGACATCACAAACATGGGCCACCAGGCCTGGTGCATGTTAGTTACCTCTTGACTTGCTTGGGAGCCAGAGTCCTTGGGTTCTCTCTGCAGATGGTTCTCCCTTGGCTTTGCCCAGGGGAGCATAATTTGCTGTCTGTTGGAATAATTAAAGGGCTCCCCATGTTTGCCCTACAGGCTTCCTGTGGACTCTCATTCCTCTGTGCTATGCTTCATTCACCAAGTGGAGGCAGGAAGAGAGCACCCACCCCTATCAATACGAGACTGGCTCACTCGCTGCCTTTTCCTGTGAGAAGAATAACTTCCTCTTCCACACACACACACACAAAAAAGATCGAAAAAGAAAACCAAAAAAAGACGTTCTCTCTGAAAATAATCCCCAGTTTCTGTATTGAGCAGGGCTTTTGTTTGAAAGCAGAGGCATTTCCTTGGGCTCTGAAATTGCCTTTGACTGCTATGATCCGCTTTGACAAAAAGTTTTTTTTTTTAGAAAAACTTCCTTTCCAAATATGCCGTCAACTAGCTGAGGCATTTAAAAAGATATAATTCAAACATAAAATGGCCCATTTTTAAAGGATAGTTTGAAAGTATTTTTGCCCCTCTGGAAGACGCTAGACTATCCATCCCCTACTGCAAATTTTCACTGTTTTGAAAGGTTTCTCCACAGCCTACTGACATTTGTATCAATTCATAAGCAAGGAGGGATTTAGGTAAACAACAGAGAAATGTGTTCAGGTTGTTTTGAACAGTAAACATTTATTTTTCTAGTGTTACATTTTTCATTCTGGGTTAAATTCAGCCCCCAAACACCACTTTGAGATGTAATTTGAATTATTGATGTATAGGGACCTTTCATCCGGTTTTTTTTTATTTTTTAAAGTCATTTTAGAACTGTGTTCTCTTGTTTTTATTCAAATGCACAATTCAGTGCTTCTTGTCAATGGTGATATTCTAAAAGCTAAAGAAACTGGAGTTAGAGAAAATAATCATCATAAGATTCCTCCCCCCACTCGAACTGTGTACCAAGAGTTCCTTTGTTCCTGTCTACTTCTGCTTGCTTTAAGGAAAATCCTCCTGTGTGTGTTTATGTATTTACTTAGCGTGTGAATGTGTGTTGGCACAGATGCCCTGGAATGCGTGTGAAGTCTAGAGGAGAACCTTTGGAGTCAGTTTTCTCCTTCTACCACGTGGATCCTGGGGACTGAACTAAGTCTGTCAGGGCTTGGTAGCAAGTGCCCTAATCCACTGAGCCACCCAGTCCTCCTCTTTTAAAACATTGACTATTTGTTGTGTGTTGGGCAGTATTTTAGTGACTAGACAAAAAAGCAAGAATAAAGACAGCAGAACACTGCCCTTCCAAGACTCTAACTTGTGGTTAGGGAGGTAAGACATTTGATCAGTTAATAAAAGTAAATAAACAATAGGGTAGCAGGATGGCTTAGTAGGTGAAGGTGATTGCTGCCAAGGTTGACTTCCTGAGTTTTATCCCCGTATCCCCACAAGGGAGGAGAGACCTGGCTTTGCTGCACAGATTGACCTCTAACCTCCACACACATGGCATGGCTTGGGCACACCCACACTCCCCACCACCACTGCCACCACACACACATACCCACATGATAAATTAAAAATGAATAGCCATAAAAATCTCACCAAACTGAGTGAGCCTAATGTAGGATGTGGGCCTTAAAGGGAGCATCTTAACCCTGGCTCCTCAGATGTAAGAAATGAGGAATATAACGGCAGTTTATAAAATCCACAATAATAGCAGTAGGATGATGTGCTTGCTGAAGACCGGAAAGATTTAACTCTAAAAATAAGGTCCCAGCGACAAAAGAATGAAGGAAGCCAACAGGGGCAAGTAGAATTTGAACTTGATAGTGAGAAGAAACCTTTCAGCCATGATACTTGAGGTAAGAGCCAGAGACTGGCAATGTGTTGTCAGTAAAGCAAGGCAAAGGAATGGTAATTTCCTTTGGAAAGGCACTGGTGGCTCCTCTGTGGAGGGGACTGTGGGTCAGGAACACTCTGGGAGGCATTCAGGCTGGAGCTCAGCTTTGGAAGTTTGGCCCCAGTCAGAGCCCTTGTCTCCCTGTGCTGGACCTGAATGGAGAAGACAGTCTAGGCGGGTCCAGAGTTCCAGATCCCTGTTCCCAACATATTACCAGTGGTTCTGTGGGGTCATGGAATTGAGAACACTCTCACATGTGTGTCTGAGATTACAATCAAATGAAAATTATAAGTAAGGAAATAAAAGCCAGTCATAACAGGTTCTTGTTAGATGTCTGTGTAAACTTGGTTTGTAATAGTTATCTTTCTTCCTATTAATAAAACCCTTTGCATCCATCGGGCTGTTTATGTTAGTGTTTCCTAAGGGTGGTAAACACCCGAGGGGAATAACCAAATAAAGGCAGCGTCTACCAGGGCGAACATGTATTGACTCTAGTATTATGAGCAGCAGGAAGCCTGAGTTAGTTCAAAGTTCTCTTTCTGTTTGAAATTAAGTGGAGCTGCATAACTGCATAACGCAATGATGTTGATAATTTATGCCTGTGTGTATGCCTGCTTCCGGGCCTTCCACAGCATTAACTATTTCTATGCTTTCCTCTTAAAGCGGGATAAACTTGGATGGGATGGATGGACATTTGTATAAAGTCACTTAATATGTGTGTAAGGCACTTAGCAAATAATATACATCTTAGTACCTGGATAATGAGGTACAAAACTGACTGCATCTACGTACTTTCTAGAGTTAGGTTTTGGTTTGGTTTGCGCTTCTGGAAATAAAAACCCTGCTAGGAATCCCCCACTTGAGCAGGCCTGTTGTTTGTTTTAGGACACAGGCATCTTCGGTGAGTGGCCACATGAGGGTCCGGCCGTGCTTGGGAATGGAGGGCACAATAAAGTTTTCCACTCTGATCTCTCATTAGGCAGCTCCTCTTTGTGTAAAGTACTCTGTGGCAAAGTTGCTTCTATTTAAAGTCCCGAGTTTGATCTTGGCTTTGATCTAAACCTTTTGATCTTGAAAGAAGGATGGAGTAGCAATAAAGTGGGCCCGACAGACTTTCTTTAAAGAAATGCGATAAAGTTAAAGGGCAGTCGGAGTCAGCCAGCCCCGGCAGCATGGCAGGCAGCCTTTTCCCAGCCCTGGCTGGCACGAGGGACAGATAGAGGAAAATGGGGCGGCAAGTCCATCCTTGGCTGTGGAACAGGACCGCCCCCCACCCTCTGCTATGCAGGTCCTTGGCGAGGCATGCACAGGGGACTCCCCAGGTCACCTGCCACCTTGGAGGTGCTGGCAGGAAAGTGGCTTCCCCTCGGAACCGGCTCAGGGTCCCTCCACGCCTCAGCCCCAGCCTCAGACTGGACCGGGAGGTGTGTGTTGGCGGAGGGCGTGGGTAGATGGATGGGTGGGTGGGGAGAGGCGCATGGGGGGCGCAGGCCCAGGCAGCGGGTGCTTTCCGAGAACAATAACAGCCTGGACCTGGGAGCCTACACCTTTAAGGCAGGCCCCGCCCCGCCCCGCGCCCGCCCGCTCGCCCGCCCGCCCGCCCGACTGCCCGACCGCCCGCCGAGGTGTCGCGCTCGCTCGTGGCGCTGGGCTCCGTGAACTTGACTCGCTCTCCCCGCAGGCGCTGCGGGAGGAGCGTGAGGCCGAGGACTGCGCGCCGACTGGGCTGGCACGACGAGTGGGCGCAGAGGTGAGTGAGGCGGGCAGAGGCGGCAGCCGTGCAGGGCCCTCCAGGTGAGACTGATGCCCGCACCTCGGCCTTCTTGAAAAGCTGTTGGGTTTTGACTTCAGGTGGCGAAATGGATTCGAGTGAACCGCAGACCCCGAAAACGCAAGCGAGGGAAGCGAGAAGCCGCCTTTGAAAAGGTAGGGGCCCTGGAGGAAAGGCGCTGCTGGGAGGGGCTCCCGTGTGCTGCCTTGTGCCCAGGAGTCAGTCCCTGCTACTAGAATAGCGTTTGGGGGAGTTCGCGTTAAATTCACAACAAGAAAGCCTTCTGATAAACAGTGGTGTCCGCCGTGGCCGGGATGGGGGCCTGTCGGTGCTGCGTGCACTGCAGCGGTGCCCCTAAGAAACGAAAGCCGCTTCCCGACAGACAGACCCGCACAGGCAACACGGAACACCACCCACGCAGCCAAACCCCTACCCGGAATCCTGTGGGAAATGGGGAGGGGCGGTGTGAGAAGTGGGAACTTCAGGGATGTCAGGACCAAAGATACTCCTTTTCTGCCCAGCAAGTGAATGGATCCTCCCGAATTTAGGATTTCATCAGTTAGTTTGTAAACCTTGCTCCCTGCTTCCCCTCGTGAGGTTGAAACTTGATTCATCAGTGTGATAAATACTTTGAAATCAGGTGAGTAGCCTATTAGCCCCCCTTTCTTACTAAAAAGGGGGGTAAACGCTAATGGCATGTTTTGGTTTGTCAGTCTTTGCTTAAATATAGTTTTGCACTTGGGGGTGGTGGTGGCGATAGCACCAAGGGACTAAAATAGCGGTGCTGTGTTGTTCTGCCGCCGGGATGGATGATGAATCACTGGGTTCGGAAGCCAAATTCTTGCCGATAGCGATGCTGCCAGCTTCCGTGATGTGTCTGTTGCCTTAGTATGGGCATCGTGGCGTCTGAGAGCGCGCATGAAGCCTGCAGTATGAACATGCGGAGGGAGCTTCAGGGTGCACTTGAGGGCACTCAGGGCCACTCGGAGGAGACCTGGCAAGAGAACTAGCTGGTCATACTGATGCTGGCGCGCAAGAGGCCTGGAGTGTGTGAGAAGCCGGCTCCCCTCCCCCCAAGCCTTGTAAAGAGGGAGCCGGGTGTGTCAACAGTTGAACAGTGGTAAGAAAAATCCTCCTTTCAAACAGAAGGATTTGGGATTGTTTGTACCTTAGCATGCTATGGCAGGCTGTGGTCGTTGGACTCTCACAGTTTAAGTAGCTTTAAAAGGTTCATGACTGATGAAGGAGATCATAAAATATCTAAAGAATGAAAAGCATTATTCTGTGCCTAGCACTTGAACAGATGTCTGTAGGTATATTAAACAAGAAATGAGATCAGCCACACATAGAAAAAGGAGAAGCTATGACCAAGTACTCGGCATTGCCTGGACCAGAATCTGAAGCAGTAACTGTTTGAGAAGAGGGCTGGCGAGGAGAGCAACTGAGCATCCGCCTTCCTGCATGGTGGCGGCCCTTTCCCCAGTCAGCCCTCCACCGTGTCCCGGGGAGGTGCGTGCGCCTCTGACTTTCTTCCTAGACAGTGCAGGTGGC